ACCCTAAACTCTAAACCGTAAACCTTAAATAACCATCAACCACAAACCCTAAACCTTAAAAAAGCTCTCTCAAACCAGAAGCCATAGATCCACATTTTACAGTGCCCATTTCTGTAGAAAAAAAGCTTTCCTTCGGCTTCGGAGCCAGGCACCCAGGGTTTCAGGGCTCCGGACTTAGGTAGGGTTTAGGGTTTAGGGTTTGGGGTTTAGGGCTTAGGGTTTTAGGGTGTAGGGTTTTGGGTTTAGGGTGAAGGGTTTAGGGGTCGGGGCTACGGGCGGCTTTTGGAATAGGGGCCTTTGGAAGTAGAAGAAGGTTTTGGGGTAGTGTAGTGGCCAGAGTAATTAGAGCAGGGTTTTAGGGTATGTTCTACTATAATTTTAATGAGGAACCCCCAAAACAGTATAGGTAATTATTAAGGCTCCCACACTGCATGTTCTACAAGTCCATAGTAAGGAACCCTTTAAGACAAGTAGTACTAGTTGTTCAGACATTGGGAGGAGAGTTCTGAACAAACGCACAAGCCTGATGGGCCCGACCCTTTGCCCATGTCCCGGAGGCCCCCTGAACGCCAAGAAGGCCTTTGAGGTCGAGGCTCTAGTACCGAACACAAGCAAGTTTAGGGTTTAGGGTTTAGGGTTTAGGGTTTAGGCTTTAGGGTTTAGGGTTTTACAAAAACAACAACTGCCACTACCACTCTTGCGAATAACGACCAGCAGCAACCATGCTGACAACGGTCTTCTTCGCCAAAGCAAACAAAAAACACTGAACCAGGCAGTTGCCATGGTAGCAGCGAGAGAACGAACCTGATCAGACCCTAAACCCTAAGCCCTAAAAACTAGCTTCTCAAGAACAAAGAACACTTGGAAGCCCCCTCTACACCCTGAACCCTAAACCCTAGACTCTAAACCCTTACAAAGGCCCTAAACCCTAAACCTTAAACCCCAAACCCTTAGAAAGGCCCTGGACCCTAAACCCTAAACCCCAAACCCTTAAAAAGGCTTAAACGCCAAACCCTTCAAAAGGCCCTAAACCCTAAAACCCTGCGCAGAAGCACCGGAATCGCTCCAAAACTGCCAATTTCCACCCATCCTGGTCCTCGCAAGTTGCCGCTGGGGTTTAGGGCTGAAGGGTTTAGGGTTTAGGGTTTGGGGTTTACGGTTTAGGGTTTAGGCTTTAGGGGGTTTAGGATTTAAGGGTTTAAGGGTT